TTTGGGGACCTTGTGGCACTTAGTGCACCAGGTCTGTATTCGACCCTTCAAAAAGTGTGGATGGTCCTGCATGAAACCTTCACCACTATAATCAAATCTCATGTGCTGTTGTCGGGCTGTCAGTTTCCTGGGAACTGATCTGCTTGACCCTCATATGTCAAATTCGCAGGGAGAGTTGACTATATACATATATATATATATATATATATATATATATATATATATAGGTTTGATTCCTGTTGGAGGATGCATATTTTCTATGACAATTTCTCAGACATTCAGGCTGGTAAATGTTGTTAATACTGTTTATTATAAACCGAGGATTTACTTAAATAGTTGTATCTATAAAAAAGAATGTATAAGCATAAAAATGTCTTAAAATAATTGTCTGACTTTTTCCATTTCATAATATATATATATATATATATATATATAGCTGTGCAAAAGCACGTGAACTTCTACAATAATATTTAAATTAATTGTCTCTTTTTTCAAAATAATCTTAATTAAACTATATATTCATTAAGAAAAAAACCTTTATTAAATCAATTACATCCACTTTCAAAATCTTTATCAACCTGAAATAAAAACATTAATTGAAAATTCAAAATTAAAATGTGCAAAAGGAAGTAAACCCTTACATTGAATATTTGGTGACTACTTCTTTTGAATTTACAATTTCCACCATTATTTTTCTATAATCTTTAAGCAGTTTCTCGCAGTAGTGAGTGCTGATTTTTGACCATTCTTCTTGGCAAAATTCTCACAATTGCTCGATTTTACCTGGGTTTCTTACATGCACTGCCTTTTTTCACTTGAATCACAGATTTTCAATTGGGTTTAGATTAGGACTTTGACTAGGCTGTTCTAAGACTAGAAATTTCTTTTTACAAACCCATTCTTTTGTGGATTTGCTTTGATGTTTCAGATCATTGTCCTGTCAGAAGTTTCAGCTCCAACCTAAAACCAACTTTTGAACTAAAGACAAGACATTTTCATTCAAAATTGCTTGATATCTTTCAGAGTCCATTGTGCTGTCAATGCGTACTATCTTACCTGTTCCAGCTGCAGAAAAGCACCCCAAATTCATAATGCTGTCACCACCATGTTTAATGGTTGGTATCAAATTCTTCTCTTCAAAAGTTGTATTAGAATCTTGCCAGATATACCATCTATTCTTCCTCCCAAAATCTTTAGATCTGAGCATAAAACCTTTTACCAGAATGTTTCTAGCTTATTAATATGAGCTTTGGTATAATTGAGGTGAACATGCTTGTGCTATTTAGTAAACCGTGGCTTTTTCTAGGCATTCTGCCATGAAGATCAGCATTGTTCAAATTTTGTCGCACTGTAGATGTTTGCACATTGATTCTAACATTGGCCAGTGAGAATTGAAGAAGTTTCTGGCAGCAATGTCATTGACCATTCTTCTTGTAAAAACTCCCATAAATGCTCGATATTACCTAGGTTGCTTGCCTACACTGCCTTCTTTCACTTGAATCACAGATTTTCAATTGGGTTTAAACTAGGACTTTGATTAATCCATTCCATGACTTAAAATTTATTTTTATGAACCCAACCTTTTGTGGATTTGCTTTGATGCTTCAGATTACTGTCCTGTTGGAAGTTCCAGCCTCGATCTAAACCCAACTTTTTGAACTGATGACAAGACACTTTTGTTAAGAATTGATTGGTATCTTGCAGACTCTATTGTGCCAACAATATGTACTATTTTGCCTGTTCCATCTGCAGCTAAGCACCTCAAATCATAATACTGTAACCACCATGTTTAATGGTTGGCATCAAATTCTTCTATTCAAAGCTCGCCAGATATAACATCTATTGTTCCTTCCAAAAAGCTCTAGTTTGGTTTCATTTGACCATAAAACCTTTTGTTAGAATGTTTCTAGCTTATTAATATGAGTTATGGCATAGTTTAGGCAAGCATACTTGTGATATTTAGTAAACAGTAGCTTTTTCTAGTCATTCTGCCATGAAAATCGGCATGGTTCAAATTTTGTCACACTGCAGATGTATGCACATTGACTCTAACATTGGCCAGTGAGAATTACTGAACCTTAAATATCACGGCAGGATTTGCTTGTGCTGGCCGAATGAGATGTCTACTTGCACTTGCTGTCATTTTCTGCAGACAGCCACTTTTTGATTGTTATACCATCATACCAAAGGCCTTCCACTTATAAATAATTTGTTGCATGGTTGAGAATTGCACTCCAAATCTTTTTGATAGATTTTTGTAGCCTTCTCCATCATTATAGATTTCAACTATGCAATTTTTAAAGCTTCAGGAAATTCTTTTGATCTTTCCATTTATATTATTTTTAAATTTAGTCTCTAACTGCCCACTTTTGCAGACACAATGAGTTATATGTGAACATGTGTCATTTTGATTTTTACGCATGCTCAAAAAATTATTTGCATTGGCAAGCATGTTAAACAAAAATACAGAGTGTAAATATAAGTGTTCATTTACTTTTGCATGTCTTAATTTTTAATTAATATTTTTATTCCAATTTGATAAAAATCTTTGAAAGTGGTTGTAATTGATTTAATAAACGTTT